TTCCTTGTTCATCCATGCAGGCCTCCTGCATTTTTGCCTGTGTTCCTCTTTGTTGGGATGCATCGCCCCTGAGCCTGGAGGAAGTGATCCTTGAATATTAGCCAGCTTTCTTGGGCCCCTCTTCCCTCCAGGGCTTTATCCCATGGGACTCTTCCAAGCAGGTCCCTGAAGAGGCCAAAGTCCGCTCTCCTAAAGTCCAGGGTAGTGAGTTTGCTGTGCGCCCTCCTCACTGCCCTGGGGATCTTGAACTCCACTGTCTCATGGTCGCTGCATCCCAGGCTGCCCTTGGGTTCCACATTCCCCACCAGCCCTTCCTTGTTGGTGAGAACAAGGTCCAGCATAGCCCCTCTCCTGGTTGGCTCCTCTGTCAATTGGAGAAGGAAGTTGTCATCAACACATTCCAGGAACTTCCTGGCCTGCCTAAGTTGTGCTGTGTTGTTCTTCCAACAGATATCAGGGTGGTAGTCAAATGTTTTCTTTCTATCCCCTTAAAGACTCCCTCCAAGTGACCTCATTTGGCTTCGGAGTTTCTTTTGTGATACCTAAAATACAGCCTTTTTTGGATCGAGCAAGTCGGGTTTGGGAATCAATTAAAGAGTTGTCCAAATGGCATCGAAAGTACACTGGTTTTGGAAAGGGCTGAGAGCTAATTGTGAATTGAACAACTCTCTCAATGTTTTTGATATATTTGTGTTTTGAATTTCAGGAGTTTTTGCTTTAATTACTAATACAAATTTCTTGCAGTTCTGTGCATTTCAGACTGCACTGTAATGTGTGATGACATCTTAAATAACAGTGTAGCTTTGGTCTATGCTTTATAAAATATTTCAGGATGCATTTCATGCCCATAATCAAAAGCAGAATATAGTATATAATTTTATTTGCTTGTGCAATGATCTCTGAATTTTCTGCTCTCCACAGATCTTGTGCAGCTACTAGATGCAACTGCCAAAGGTGTGACAATAGAGCTTCAGTCTCTATAATGGATGCTTAAATAGCCCTGACTTTGTTAGGGGCCAAGGAACTTTAAGCTGCTCAGAGAACAGGAAGGGAGTGATCAAACTATTTGCATAGTGGTATTTCTGATGGAAGAGATGTTCATTGAGCTTGACTAAGGAGGATACAGAAACAAGTTTATAAAAGTTAAATACGTTATTACAAGTATCCCCTAAAATGTGTTGTAGAATTTCTCATATCAGACAGTGGTAAGTGCTGTACACAGCAGCTTAAATTTCAGCCCCTTTTTGAAGCTAGAATATCTAAAGTCTGTTTTCATTCCAACCAAACAAAAATATCTACTGAAGAAAATCAGTCTTGTAGAAGGACAAAGTCATGAACATAACAAAGATAAGGGATCATATAAAATAAAATGCGAGAGTGGTCTGGAGGGAGCCATTTCCCTGTCTTCTGGAGTTCTATGTCTGCTGTATCTCAGGAACTTTCATACCTAACAGTGCTCACTGGTGAAGGATGAGTGAGTAGGTGGTGGATCTGCATGTGCTGCTTTGGACCTGCAATTTAACCTGGATTTTTGATCATACGTTTAATCAGCAGCATGTAAAGAGTCTTCAGACTAAGCTAGACTTAAGGAATCTGCACTAAAGAGATACTGAACTTCACAAAAATGGCCTGTGGAGCCACTCTCTCACACATAGAGCCTCCATATCTTTTCTACAAAGGGCAATAATTATCTTTGGCAGAACTGCAGGTTATTAAACGTCATCAGGGCTGTAAAAGATGTGTCTGATTGCATAAGAACTGACACACTGTTTGGACAGAGGGAAGCACAGACTTTCAGCTCATCTATTCCTTTATGTTTTTTCAATACAACATCAAGAAGTTGTTGCAGAGGTGCTGTGGTGACGTGGACAAATTGAATCCTTTTTAAAGACTGGATGCAAAGGGCCTGACACACAGCCTCGGGAGTTCTGCCAAGCTTCAGAGATTTTCATGTGGCCTTAAGTGGAAACTTTGTTTGAAGGAGCTTATGTTGTGCAATGAACTCAGTTGGCCTTCCTCACATAAGTACCAAAGTAGAGTATTTGCTGTGGCTTTGTAGAATCTGTGAGATAAAGTATAAACTGATGTCAGTGAATAAAACTAGAAGGCATATTTATTCCTTTTTAGCTACGGAGGGCAAACCTTCTTGAAAAAAAAAAGTTGAGTCAAATTTTAATGGAGGCAAAGCTTTTATTTTTAAAATCTGTTGCCTTTATTCAGCCTAACTACTACTATAAGTGTTTTTACTCCTAAAATATTTCCTTTCAGATTTTTAAGAGGTCTTGAAGGAATTTTGTAACTTTCCCTGGACTTACCTTTTGCTTCTTTAAACCAATGAAGACTGTTTCAGCAGCATGTATAATATCTTGCCATCTATATGGAAAGAATCTAATAAAAGTTTTTCATTCACTGAGCTGTCTTTTTATAATCATGTTCTCTTTGGATGACTTGCTTACAAGAGCCAGACACCACTATTTGCAACAGTGCCTTACTGACATCTGTTCAGTTTCTCTGCTCCAGTAGTCCTCAATGAGACATCTTGTGTAGCCGCGTAGACAAACTAGGTTAGGGTTGTAAAGACAGGATTTCCTTACCCGGTGCAGTGACTGGCTTGTGGTTAAGAGGGGAAAAATAGAGCTGGGACTATGTAAAGTCATGATGTGAGAGAGAGAGGTGATTGCACAAGCGTGTTTACCCTTCCTTGTTATAGCAGATGTATTCCTCTGATATGAAGGTAGCAGATCTTGGGGGAAAAGGTATTTATATGTATCGGGGTGGTGGGGTTCGATCTTGGACATTAGCTGGTAATTATACCCCATGCCTTGAATATAAAATTCCTGGCTTTCCCAGAATGGTCCATCTTTAGATTTTTATGTAAAAATTTTTCATATTACATTTAAAGAAAGGTCTGATGAACCTTACTGTAAGGGCTTAAAGGTCCTTTTGGATGAGCTTGGCCTATTTTGGCAGTAAGAGATGCAAGCATAACTCTAAAGCAGGCTTTTTGTAAGAGATTTTTATTCTTTATATTGCGTCTAAATCCTACTTCTCCAGGGAAAGTGAGAGATCTGTGTATTTATGACTAGAGCTACATCCAGCAAAACGTATTTCTTTACAAGCCGTACTTTTTAGCAGCCAATATTGTAAGGTAAAACACATGACAAAGCAAGCCCAGGAAGGACATCAATGGAACAAAGTTCTCTGATTCTTTCCTGTGACAACAGGTAGAGCCTGGCCAGCAGCTGCTCAGGAGCTGCTCTGATATTCACACCAGGTATTGCCTGAAATCAGCACAGGAAGCAAGCTCGTGCATATCCAACCTCAGAGTTGAAGTAGGGCACATGTACGTGCACTGTTCATGCCATTCAGGAAATGGAAGTTACTTTTCCTCAATCCACCTCTGTGAGGTTTAGGTGGAAAGTATATTTTTGTTTTGTTATAAAGCTGTTCTAGATTTTAGTTGAGGTGGTCTCAGTCCATTAACTGTTGAATTTGCCAAAATAGTAAGTTGGAATAGTAATTTACTTCTTTCTAATGTCTTTAAATGTATAAACTTGATTTTTTAGAACCTTGTTGAATAAACAGTTGGAAAAAAAAAAGTAACTTCTTTCTTTTGTTTTTGTTTTTATTTGTTTTACCTACCCTGGCAGTGTTTCAGAGCACTTTGCTGCAAGGGACCACCTCCACCACGACCTGAATATGACTTGGTTTGTATAGGCCTCACTGGTTCTGGCAAGACAAGTCTTCTGTCACAGCTTTGCAGTGAAAGCCCGGAGAATATAGTGTCTACCACAGGTAGGATGCTGCCTTTATTCCGTGGTGTGCTGTAATGTTGCCCAAAATTAACTTCTGAAACACATAGCAAAGGTGGTAGAGAACTTGCAGTTTAGTTATCTTCCTTTTGAAAGTACTTAATGGATTGCTGTGAAGCTACCACTACTTACTGTTTCAGGTCTTGGTCCTACGTTGGGGGATATCCATGAAAACATACAATTTAGAACGTGTTGAAACTCAAAACATACATTGTGGTGTAATGGAGTAGAACCACTGGAAACATATAGTACCAGTGCAGTGCAGACACACATTAAAATGTTTCTTTCTTATTTTTTTTATTTTTGGTTTTTAAGCAGTCCTGTTATATGGACAGGAAATAGGAGAATGTGCTGTGAAATAGAATGGGACAGTGATGCTCTGAAACTTAAGCTGGGATTTATTTCTCCTCATACTTGGTCAGTACTGCCTTGTGCCATATACTAGCAAACAAATGAATAAATGTAATGGAAATGTTGATTTATGATGATAATCCTTGCTTTTCCAGCAAAGAGCCTTGTTTATGTAGTAAGGGCAGACTGAAATCAGAGAATCTATTTGCAAAAAGTTTCAGTGGCATTGACAAGATGCATAAAAACAGACATAACAACCACAGCTAAAAGGCATCTTATGTCCAAAAAATTTGAATATGCATGTTGATATGAATGAACCAGAATGCCTAATATTGAAAAGGGTTATTGGTTAAAAAAAGCCCAAACAAACAAAAACCAGCAAAAAACCCAAAACCAAAACAGCAACAGAAAACACAGAAACAAACATGTCAAGTGAGAAGAAGGAATACCTGGCTGCAGTGTTCAGAAAGAGAATAGATTAGGTCATAGAGGTGAAAGAAATGTGATGCTGTGGCTGCAGTGATTTACTAACATTGATTTGCTGAGGGAACAGATAGCGAGTGCTGTGCGTGTAGCTGGTGTATACAGTTATGTGGCTTTATATTGTACCTGTGGTTCATGGGCTTGAATTTTATGATTGTCCCTTAGCAACTCTAGCTGGTTTTCAGTGTATCTTTGTTTAAATTACAAGAACATAAGGTTATTTAAAACAGCTGTAAAAAAACAAAGTAAAACAAGTACAAGAACATACGAGGTTTTTTCTGCGATGAATAATTAGCTCATTGCATTCACAGCAGTATTACTGGTAATAGTAAAGAGATCTGACACTTCATTGTGTGGAGAAGATGTCAATGCCTATTTCGAAGTTAGAAGGAAATTGTAGAGTAATTTGGCCTTCCTCCCCCGCCCCGAACTTTATCTTTAGAGTTCATCTGGAATTAGTGCTAATTATACTTTAACACTTTGGAGCCTGAAAGAAATAGTAACAGTAATGTAAACAGCAGTATAGATCTATCAAAGGAAATAATGAAAATATGATTAATTTTAAAATTAAATTTCTTATGTGTTTCTAGATAGTTGCAACAAAATACCATTATTTAGTTAAGCAACTCGAAGAATGGAAACCGACTCTAGAGAAAACTAGGCAGCATCCAAACTAAAATTATGCCTATCCAAGCTATTCAGCTTATAGTAAATTTACTCATATGTACTGTATTTGTGCTATATCAGAAAATATTGTTGAGAATCCAAAAATACAGTATGACAACTTCTTCACTCAGTTTTCAAACTATAACCTGTAATTTTATTTTTCTTATCGACGCCACTCAGGTCCATACCAGTTTTTCCTCCTTTCTAGGAAAAGTTTAGGTTTTGCTTTGAGACAAGAACAACAGAAATATTTCATAATTATTCCCTTCAGATTTTCTTTCACTTTCCTCTACTGCATCCAGCACTGACCATGGTTGGAGTACTGGAATTTCTTATTGGTCTATCTGGGAGAAAAAATGTCTTGTTTTTGTTAAATGATAGCTAATAAACTTGGAGTGAAATACATTTTTTTCAAAACTTCTTTAGTCAGTTCACAAGTACATAATCATGTTGAAGCTGCTTGTGCCAGATGGAAATAAATGTAGTATCTATCTGGAAATTTTGTGCTGAAAGAGGATACATAATTTTTCCTGTATAATGTATGATATATGCTCACATACATGCATACACTAAACATACAGAATTTAGTATAGTATATTGTTGGATTGCTGGGAGCCTTTCACATTCCCTTTCTCTTGGCTGTCTGAATTTTCAATTAAGGGAAAACACTACATTCAAAAGTTCTTTATTTGAAGCATATAACAGGCTAATAGAGGATTCATAGATGCTTCTAGTGTGCTTAAACATTTTAATACACACCACTTAGGTCTGCAAAAAGATCTTTCTGTTAATGACATTTATGGACAGGATTAATATTCTAGGTAAAGTTTAAATGTAAGTGTTATTTGATTGTGATTTAAATTGTATGTTGTCCTCCACATCTCCTAAAAATTGCAGAAGGATCACTTCATATTACTGGTAGTCTGACATCTAAACTTAAGTTCCAGATGCATTAGAAGATGGTTTTATAAAGGTATATTCCATACTAACTCCTTAACAAGGGGTAAGCGGCCTGGATGGAAGTTTGTGCTGAATTCTATGTGTGCCAACTATATAAGTATCATTGCAAATTACGTTGCTCATACTGATTTATCACACACCCCCCACCCCTTAACTTATATTTTTAAACATTGTGTTGAAACAGAGTTTCTTATGCAAGATCCTCATTCTTGATGAAAGAAGTAGTCTTTTCGGAATGCACGCAGTTGATTTCAAATGGCCTCTTTAACAAATAAGTTACTAATACTCTTTATTTCTGTTCTTAGGTTTTAGTATAAAAGCGGTGCCATTCCAGAATGCCATCTTGAACGTAAAAGAACTTGGAGGTATAGCATTTATTCATTTGATTATAAAAACATGCAGTGTCTAAATCTTATCATACCAAACTGTTAGTTGTTTTAAATTTAAAAATTATATATCAGTGTGGCTGGAATTTAAAACCTGTGTTTCACCACAGCAGATGAAGTTGAGAAAAATTGTACAAATGCTGACTACAAAGAACAAAAAGTAAAAAGCAGGAGGGGTGAAAGGCTGATAGGTGTGGTGTATTATCTCCTTAATGTAATTTCTTGAATTGCAGAGGTTAAGTTAAACAGAAACACAAACTGGACCATAATTGTAGTACGGTTCTCATGGCAGCTCAAAGAAGTGTGTTCCCAGTGTTTATTGTACATACAAGCTTTTACTTACAAGCACTTACAAGCTCAGGTAACTATGTGAACATTTGGCAAAACCAATATATTTGCTGCTCCGCTGAAAGTGTTGCAAAGGCAGACAACTTCCAGTGAGTTATATTCTTTGAAATCTATTCTCTTTTTGGATTTGTTGGGTTTCGGAAGGAAGGTTGTTTTGTTGTTGTGTTTTTTTAATTGTTGGTATACAGGTAAGCTGTTTGGCTTTCCAGTTTTGTCCCTGAGTCTTAAGTGGCCAAGAGTTATCTCTGTTAAAAGGAAGAAAACCCTCTCCTAATGAGAGTTCTTATGGAGTCTAATTTCATCTCATGTTCTTCTACTGAAAAAGATCTTCTTTATAATCTGGAATTTCAGTATCTCTTTGTTATCTATGTAAATATAGAGAATGAATCTTGAGGATGTTCATTAGATTTTCAGCGAGGTTGAAACATCTATTAAATGCTCTGGGGTAGAAGTTAACTTGCTTCTTGGAGGAAGTTTCATGAGATCAAGTAAAGTTTCATGATGGTTGTCTTGTCTGAAACTGTTTCAAGAAGTCTTTGAGATAAGCACATGCTAAAAGGATAGCATTTCCTCATTGCTACTGTTGGTCCATGGATTTAAACATACATGTTCTTGTTCAAGCATGTGTCCTTTTCTTTGATAAAGGGACTACTGCACGGGGATAGTCTTGGTTCTTCTTGAGAACGTTATCTGCATAATGTGCACTTAGGTTGCTTTTTGGATTATTTTGAAATAGAGTGAATCATTTGCAGCCCGGTTTATACATACTGCTGCTTGATCTCTATGAAATACATAATGCATATAGGTAAATACAAGTTTTGCATCAAGGATTTAATCTGAGTATCCTATAGCAGATCCTTGTTAAAGTCTCTTCCTTAACCTCTGATCATACAAGTTTTATTTTATTCAGATATGTATGTTATGAAAAAACCTTATCTCAATGGGGTGCTTTGATATCTCATGACAGGATATCCTGAAGTAGTCAAGAATATTTGATTTGTTTTTTCCACCCTTTTATCTCCTCCCAAAGACAGAAAGATTGTCAGAATTTTTTTACTGCACCTTTTTTGTTTCTTATCCCTTTAGACATAGATGTTTACATATCTGTATTTAGAAATGCTATTGTCTGTTTTTTCTATGAGATATTGGAGAAAAATGCTAATTCTGATAGCTTTTCATTGCCTAGATAAGAGAGCTAAGGCAAGCTTCCAAGAGTTTTTCTTCCAAAAGTTGGTGGCCAGCATTTAATCTTCTAGTTGAGAGATGTGTTCCTATGTGATGAAGGTAAAGCCTGAGTTTTCTGGAGTATGCATGCTTTCTCTCTTGCTGATGTATGAAAATAACGAAAGGCATCTTACATATTTAATCACTACTAAATTTTATTTTGGAATTTCTGCTTCTGGTGTTGAAGAGAGGCTTGTTTTTTTGCTCTGAGTTTTGCCTTTAGTTGTTACATTACTGTTATCTCGGTTTTCTCTTTGGTAGTATGGAGGTCTTGTGCAGACATTTCATCTTGGAAACTTGGACAAAGGAAGAAAGGCATCTGTTTTTAACAATCACTGTCTGTTGTTACATGTTATTAAAATGGTGAAGTTCTATATAGTTTTAATTTTTGATACTCTATTTAAAAATTGTCTTTTAGATTTACAGAACTGAAAGCTTCATGTCTTCATACAGCAACATATTAGTAACTGGTATCTAGAAAACTTACAGCAGAAGTAATTCTGTTTAAGGTTCTTATATTCAGCATCCAAACAGTTATGTGAAACAGATGCTGACTGCTTAGTATCCTTTTTGTTTGTTTGGCTGAAGCAGTATTCCTCCTCGAGGTCGAAGATGGTGCCGGTTTTACTATGCTGGTTGCCTTCTGGAGCTGCTAGTGAAGCCAGGTTTTGTTTCTTCATTTCTGTAGGGAATGGAAATTTTCAGGCAAAGCGTACAGGAAACAGTCTCTGTTTTTTTGTCTCTTCCTGGTCTATTTATCTCTTAATCAGCTTTCAGGATCAGGGATATGGAACAAAATTTGCTGTGCTCTTTTGAAATAAATTTTTCTTTCAAGTATGTGATACTGGAATCTTAAAATCCTATTTCTGATTATTTTTGCTTTTATTGTGTTTATTTCCTAAGCCAGGCTGCCCTCCTACCAGCAAACAGGGTTTTTATCCAGTTTTGTATATTTTAAATGTTTTGTTTAAAAACATGGAATTTGATCCTGAACGAGTAAGAATATGTATAGCTTTCAAATCAATTGTAGGCCTTCTTGAATTACTTCAAGAGGATGTCTTGCTTTGTTTACTGACCAAGTTGACCTGCCCGTTCTCGAAGTTTCTATTCTGAATAGTGTACCAATATTCCCTCCCTGATTCCTGAGAAATTAAAAAAAAAACAAACCCACTTTCTTACAAAAATTTAGTCTGTAAAATAATGTAATTTAGATTAATGTGAAGATGTGCTATACCCTGGTTCACATTCTTTCGGAATAAACTCTTAAACAGGATAATGAGATACCTCTATATTATCTCTAGATTATGCAACTCACCTGAGTAATGGTATAGAAATTACAGATTTAATGATTTCCTGTTATGGAGCTGCAATCTCTGGTGGGAACTAAGGATGAAATTGTGTATGAAGCACATACAGGAGAGTAGGGAAAAACTGGAAAAATAAGGCAGATAGTAATACTTCTTGTTCAGAAAGTTCTAACAGTGTTTTTCTGAAAGATGTCTGGGATGCTGAATGCTGAGGTTTATTCTCAAAACAGATAATGAAGGTGCAAAGGCAATAGGAGGCTTTTTCTTTGGTTCTAATAAATTCCAGCCTGGAGAGATGGTGCCTGAAACCACCGTTTAGTGAATGTGTTTACTCAGTCATTTGCTGTTGTAACGCTGTCAAAACAGAATGGGAAGTCGTGGTGTCTGTTGTGACGTAGGTACCTATTCAGGCCTAAATCAAGATTATAGGTCCATTCTAGAGACCAACTAATAATTTAATTTTTTTTTTTTTTTTTTAGAATAAGTCTACTTTATAATTTAGTTTGCTATCTTGTAAATTCAGGCTTAGACACTACTGGTGAGATGCCAAATACTGAGCCTGGTCAAATTTAAAAAATTATTCTGGATGTGAACAGCTCTTTTTCTTCTTACTATGTTTTAAGATACTAACAACATGTTATAGGGTTTATTAACATTCTGTGGTTTATGTACTAAAATATATTGTCATGTGTTTGTGTTACGTTTTGTAATCCAACCAAAGGCCTTTTTTACAAGCACAGAGAATCAACATGTTGTGTGGTCAGCTTTGAAACTTCATTTAAAACAAAATGTATTAAGTGCTTATAAGAGCGGCGTGGTTAATATCAGAGATGCTTGAGTCTTCAGTTGGTTGAGCATGCTGAGGAAAGAGATGAGAACTGTCCTCCCCACTGCTATTCCTTCTTAAGCTTCATGACCAAGGTCATAAATTCACACTCTTAGGCCAGCTAAATTAATTGTCTAGGTGAGAGCTTGAGAACAAATAACCTTAAAAGGGATTGATTAAACAAAACACGCGTGTTTTGCCTTAATTTGGAAGTAAAGAGCAGAAGAAAAGACAGTAGGAGGAGGAGTCACACTGTCATGCAATCCAAGTTGAATGGAAAATATGAACTCTTGGAGAAGATGGCAACAGTTGTCAGGTAGTATCTGCCTTGTGAAAAAATGAGGGAAGAGGGAGAAAAATTTGTTGAGATATTAATTAGAATTTAAAATTCAAATAGTTATAGGAAACCACCTTCCTCATTTGTTCTGTGGAGGTAGAGGGGACTACTGAACACCCTTGTAGCAACATTCCCTGGAAGAGCAGCTAAAATTTCATCTAGTTCGTCGTCAGAAAACCAATCCCACAAGTAAATGCCAGCCTAAGTTATCTTCACAGGGGTGAACTACCACAAAGCCATAAAATCTCTGTACTGCATTTGACAAAAAGGCAGTTGACACCTCTACAAAGTCTGGTTGTGGAGTGCATGCAATGCCATCTGCGGCATAGCTGTGTCTAACAGTTTACAGAACATCTTAGCAGATGAAATTTTTAGATGACCCTGATGAGCTCTCCAAGCTGTGAGTCACACAGAGACATTCAGCTTCTAAAAGCATTAAAGTTAGATCTGTTTGCTATCAGTCATGCTCAGCCTGCTGTTCAAATGGTGCCTAGGCCCAGGCTGTCATGTAGTTTCCTCATTTCATAGATAAGAGATATCATTTACACCTGCTTACAGATCTCATTAACATGAGTCCTAAGGAAGTTCTGATAAGGATTCAGGATTAGCGATCTTCCCGCTGTTCTTTAGAAATACTGTTCTTTTTCAACAGTTAGCTTTTTACCATGTGAGTAGACAACCCACTGCCTATCTTATTCAAAACAAGTAAGAGCCATGCAAGCAACACCTATCAAAGCTATGTACAATATGCTAAGCAAACCACAAAATTTCCTAGTTACATTTTGTTTGGGGCAAGGGGCCTTTTTGTTGTTGTTGATGCGATGTGTTGTGGAGAGAAAAGTAGAACCTTTGGTTTGCTGAAAAGCCTCTGTCACCTGTTGGAATTGCAACTCCATTTTCTTCAGGCCGAATCAAAGGGTAGAGTACAGCAGCCTAG